ATTCAGTAAAATCGCTATTGGCTCCAGCCCAAGCCATTAAACAAGTTCAGAATCTCTTGAAAATCTACTGGGCCGTCTTCCCTTTTTAAGTTGGTTAATGCTGTCATAATCCTGTTACAGGGAGTTTTGTTGGTTGCTCGCTCAACTAGTCTCCAGCCATAATAATCAAAGGGGTTACAGTCTGGGGAGTTAGGTGGTCAAAAGATATAAGAGGTGATGTGACCGTAGAAATTGTCTGACAGCCATGACTGGGTTCTCCTGTTTGTGTGGCATGGTGCAGAGTCCTGTTGCTAGACTTAGATTCTTTCAGAAGTCACGACCCAAGGCAGCACTACCCGCTCAAGACACTTGATGCAGGCTTCGGTGTTGAATCTGACGCCCTCAACAACAAATCCGGGAGTTCTTTTCTCATCGGAACGATCATAGTGAATTTTCAGAGCTGCCATACCTTCGTAATCACCATTAGACTCATCCCACTCTTTCCGAATCCTCAGCATTGTCCTCAGATCGACACCCAAACACTCCTTTGAACAGAAGTTTAGCTTCTCAGACAGAGATTTAAGAGAGGTACTAATTGTCAATTTTAGCGTGCAACAATTCTCATACAAGCTGTCCCGGGATTTTTGGTTAAATGTGTTAGGTTCTTAATCGATCACATTCTTAGAAACTATTGTTTACGTTTTATATATATATATATATATATATATATATATATATATATATATATATATATATATATAAAGAAGAGAGATCGATGCCAAAAAATGGAACGAGCGGGAATCGAAGCTTTCTGAAGTTTTGAAATTTCCTTCGTCCAGCCAGATGACTTACCTGTCTCACTTAGTCTCTTGATTCTTCGAAGGAATGCGGAATAATGGTTCGATCTTGGATAATCCACAGACGATTATGTGTATATCTTTTTTTTTTCTTTTTTTTTAATTGCGTTTTTATTTTTATTTGCTGTTTTGTATTACGTCTTTATCTGTCTTTCCAAATAATTATTTCGGAGGAGCACAATGGGCGCGAAAACGATCATTTGGGTTTTTGTGGACGATTTCACAGCTGACACCTTCCAAAATCTAAGCAAAGTATTAAGAAACAAGAAAATCTTGTTAGAAACAAAGAAAAGTGTACTTAATTTTTATGTAGTATCGGTCCTTCTACATGGCAGTGAACACTAGTCAAGCTGCTTACAGATGTTCTACAGACGATGAGAATGTCATGAGCTAAACATGGCGAAATTTTTAGAGAAAATGAAAAGGGTATTTATTCTTAACATAATTTGATACTTACCGGGCATTGAATTCCAGATAGAGGAAAATAGACCATAACGTGTTTGTTTAAATGTTTAGCAAAACATGAATTAAAAGAGACAGTCAATACACCAATATTTAATCGCTACAAAGGTCAAGAAATTGTGGAGAGGCATAATCGTTAAGATTCTGAAGAGACACGGTACATAGAAGAAGAGTTTCATGAAATATTTTTTGTATTCCTTTTTGTGACGAAATGTAGGAGCAGATATAAAAGTATTCTCCCTGTTTAAAGCGCATGTGTGCAATATGAACTTCCTTTTTTTTTCTTTAACTTTCTGTCTCTTTAAAGCGCATGCGTACGATAGACTTCCGTTTTAGACAAGCATAAAACTGCTGATACCGACATTTATTGCCTCAACCATGGAATCTCGATCTCACTTCTCTTTCTTTGTGATATTCTGTATAAATCATAAATTGTATCCTTGCCGCTTTCTCGTCCATCCACCCCGAATGTCTTTCCCACTTTTTTTGAGTACTTGTTTACAGTTTCGTAGCGGTCATGTTAAATGAACAGCGAAAGAAATCTCATTTGAGTATAAAAAAAAAGAAAGAAAAAAATAACTTTAGATAAACTTATAGAATTAGGAATCCCCGGAGAAATCGACTTGATATCCATTTTGCTTGCCACTTTTACGACACATTTAAAGATTGCAGAGGATATTTTAAACAGGTTTTCTTCGCTGTTTTTTCATGTTATTTCTAAAATGGCTGTCATATTTTTCCTTTCCTTTCTATTTATCCTGATTCTGTTTTTTTTTTTAATATTATTTCTTTCTTATTGTCATTCGTTTCGCTTTGGTCTTCCACCGCATTCTCCATTTATTGGTTTCCTGGTCAATAGGACACACTTCGTTTTATGAACGCCAACTCGGAAGTAGCTACTCAAATAAGACATATTAATAACCTTAGCTTCTTCCGACATCCGGCTTAATAAGGTTAAGAAGGTTGCATTTCAGTAAGCCTTCAACTCGCGAAAGCTTGCGAATCAGATTTTAAAATCGAAAGATTGATCATTGATAATTTGTGCAGATATTTATCCACCTTTTAATCTAGGTTACAAAAGGTTAAACGGCGAGATGTTGAGAAAGGAAGATTATAGTCTTTGAAAAACATCAATTTGACGAATCTATCATGGAAAGATGTTGCGCGAATCGCGCCAAAATGTCGTTGCGAATTTTCTCATTTCTTGTTGAATAAATTACCGCCAAAGTTCCATAAAGGTAAACAGCGACACAAAGTATAAGTTCAGCTGATTATTTGGATTCAAATCGGCAAGAAAGAAAAAACAATTAATTACAAGTAGATAGAAAGTGTAGTCATCAGCAAGAGGAACACCCCCAAGATCCGAGCTACCAATTTAAAATTCCTAGATGAAGAAGATGCCGGAATTTAACTTTCTAGGAAAATTTGAAAAAAACTTAAATGCGAAGGTGCATTATAACAGGGAAAAATACCTTCCAAAAACTAAAGAAAGTATTAAGATACAGGCAAATGGTAGAAAAAATAAAGAGCATTGAACTGCTATGCAATATTAATATCATTATATACACTACAGTTGCCACTGCAGAATTAGCATGAGATGAACTTGAGAGAAGATTAAAACCAAAAAAAAAAAACCGCAATCTTCAAGCCAGAAGATAGCGTTCATAGTACCTCCATTCGTTGCTGATATCAGTGTCAACTTTTGTATTTACATGTATTAAAGGTATATATATATATATATATATATATATATATATATATATATATATATATCTTATGAGTAAAATTGATATATTACCCATAAATATAGCATATCTTAACACTATATTTTACCACATATATATATATATATATATATATATATATATATATATATCCAGATGCTTTGATCTATCCACTCTTCATCCTTTCCGCTATCACTCCTATCTGCTCTCGCTCTAATTCCTATGTAACCCCTTGCATGCTAGTGGCTTCCAGCCTTGCTTGGGGTGAAATGCTTATATATATATATATATATATATATATATATATATATATATATATATATATATATATGTGTGTGTGTGTGTGTGTGTGTGTGTGTGTGTGTGTGTGTGAAAAGTGTATATAAATATAAATAAATATAAGTATGTATAATTATTTATATATTATATGCGCGGTACTTATTAGAAAGCGCTCAATATCAGAGATAGAGCTAACATATTTGGTTGGATAGATGTGAGTTTGTGACCCTGGGTTTCACGCTTTAGCGATCGTCAGACAAACTGATTAATGTTTTAAAAAATTTGGGTTTATGTGGATTGCGTGTATTGGAAGTGGTGGGGGAAATTTCGTCGTTTTGTCATTCATCGTACTAACGCAAACATCGATGTATTCAGACACATATACATACTTGGTCGTCCGTCGGGACTCATACATATATAAAATATATGGGCAGTTTCGGCTATGACACATGTATGTATACGGGTGGTGTTATATCTATACATACGCATTTGTATGTTGAAATGTTGAAATTTAAACATTGGAAGTGTGGCGGAAATGTCTCGTTACTGTATACATGTCATATTATGTGTTTTCCCGCTGAAAAATATTTCCTCGCGTGTATGTATATGCGTGTGGTGGGGTTTGTGTAAAATTATGATAGGTAAAAATTATTATTATTTATATTTATTTTTTAATTTTTTAATCAGTTTGTCTGATGATCGCTAAAAGCGTGAAACCCAGGGTCACAAACTCACATCTATCCAACTAAATAAATATATATATATATATATATATATATATATATATATATATATATATATATATATATATATATATATATATTACATGAATCATTCTTACAAAAACAAACATAGAGGTTAATGATTTAAATGGCGAGAATACATCTTCAAAAAATTTCAATAAGTTACACTAACCCTGAACGTGTATATGAATGATATGATCCCTGTTTATAAATTCCAGTTTAATAAGGTCTTTTTAGTTTTTACAAGCTTTCGTCTGTTCCTACAGACATCCACAGGTATGGAAATAGATTTGTTCTTGTTTTTTACTTCTCGGTAATAAGAGGACAACGAAAATAGAGATGTAATCCGAAAAAATACTATGAGTAATGTGTTATTATTTTGGAACGTGCGGTCGCAACGCTGAGTTTGAATTTTAAATTTTAAGGTTGTGCGTTTTTGTACGAATACAGTAATAAGAGAATTCTTTTGTACTGGTATATATATATATATATATATATATATATATATATATATATATATATATATATATATATATATCATGGCTATACTTCGAGGTCGGGGATGATGGTCTTTTGCTTGCTTGCCTCATTCAGTTGGGTTTGTAGACTCTGGAATTGATTGTTACCGGATTTTGCTTGGAAGGTCCTCCGGAAGTGAGGACACGTTGTTCTGGTTGATGGCTTAGGCCTTGGATGTCGTTGTATTTCTTTTCAACGTTTTTTTTTCCTCTAGTTCAGCTGATTATTTGGATTCGAAGATTGTCGTTCCGTTTTGATAATGAATCTGCAGAAATACTTTTCCATTCCACTTGACTCCAAGCTGTTTATGTGAAATTTTACCTCATCCAGGCGCCATATTTGCCAATAGATAATTCTCGATATATACGGAATTGGAAATACTACTGGATTCATACATACCAAGAAGAATCTGTTGTCAAATATGGCATCTGGATAAGGTTCAAATCCGAGTCTCTCCCTATATATTTATTCATACATATATCACTTGACTCTCGCAAACAACATTCGTTGAGCTTTTATTTTTCTTTCTCTCATCCAACCAATATTCTCTGGTTACTGTCTTCATTAGCTCTGTTCATTAATACACATCTGTTTTTCCTTATCTCTGACTGTGCCTTCTTCATCCGTTTCCAATTCTCCAACTTCCCCGCCCACGGTTGTTCCTTTATCTTTTGTCACTCTTTGTGTCACTGTTTACAATTCAGTGGGGTCTGGAAGTGCCTAAATGCTTCCGCGTTTTCTTGGACGGGCAACGAATACCACATTTTTCTGATGACGCTTCTGGGTCAATCCATTCTACAATGTCAGCACAGACATTTTCCGGACCAGGAGCATCAAGGCCATTTTTCTTTGTCAGGATCATCTTTGGGAATTGGCGAAACAACTGCTACGATTGATCCAGCAGCAACTTGTCCACAACCAGCGTCTTCTTCGACACTTCAAAATTCGGCGTAGGGAAAACATAAATATTTAAATCTCCAGAAAGGTTTGGCCAAACATTTATCGAAAACCTCCTAGAACTCTTTTTTTTATCTCTCTCCTTTTTGATCATTCTCTTTTTTCTCCCTTTCTTTCTCTGTCGCTTTATCGCTCTCACTTTCATTCACTTAATCATAAAGCAAAGACCTAATGAAACTACCCAGGTTTCTCAGAAGAAAAGGACAAATCATCGTGGACTTACTTCAGCCGATTTCCTCATAACATTAACATCATGCCAAGAAAAACCAAAGCAACATTTATTTAATTACATTATTTAAACTCGGACTATTATCCTCATCTTCGTCACAACTATTCGAAAACCTGTCTTGAAAATATTTTATTAATAAATTTATTTATCCGTAACTGGGTACAAATGAAAAGATTTCAAATTTTTCCATTTCATTGAAACAGACGTTATTTTTTTTTTATCTTCCTTTCATTATTTCTTTCATTTTCTCACTGAAACCAAGTAGCGTTTCTGATACGTCGATTCCGTGTTTTAATGCATTCAAAACACAATCGTCTGTTACTTATGAGGCATTGATAGGGCATTAGTACGAACTAATGAAGTAACTATCTTTCTAACAAAGCAAAATTATAATAGAGATATTTCAGTCGTTGTCCCCAACATTTATGAAATGCTTGTTCATTCAGAGAATATCGTTCTGATCCATTTATTTAACACTTTATTCATTATATGAGGTTTGATTGTTCTCGTCCCGCTGTCCATGTCGTGGGATACCTCGACTAGTTATTATTTTTAGTACTTCTCAAATATTGACCACACTGTTTCCACTAAGTAACAATTTACTCAAATTAAATTTATCCACAATCTCCTGATAAAGTGCGGGTGGTACAACAACCGAAACGTTGTGTATATAATAACAGAAATGAGGACAATAGTCCGATTGTAAATAATGTAAACGTTAAGTCATCATCTCAGAAATTTAGAGAGAATATATTAAAACACGTAGTTCTATATGCACTGCACAACGAGGCGCTATTGCAAAAAACAGAACTGGTTTTCATGATAAAACAAAAGCAAACTTTCGCTGAATTGCATGAAGAATCTAACCATCGTCAATTAGCATGCCCAGGAGATGGACAATCGTGCAATGAAATAAGGACAGCTTAATAGCCCTCTTTTTGTGATTGTATGAGATGCATTCTGGGAAATGAAATAGTCTCAACGAGAAAGAATTTTGCACTCCAAAATGCCGTCCAGGTATTGACTGCTTACAATCCGGCTGCACAAAGAATCGGAGAAATTCACTTCTATCTTACCATTTCCTTCGCTGTCAATATTCTATCTATCTATCTATCTATCTATCTATCTATCTATCTATCTATCTATCTATCTATCTGTCTGTCTGACTGACAATGCATATATTTTTTTCCTTGTACATTTAAATCGTCATCTTCTGCCCCAACTGATTCTATATTTTTTTCTCCTCAGTAACACCCATTGTTTCATAGTAGCTCTAACGCTTACTTGGGCGTGGGGGGATTATTTAATTAAAAAAAATCTATTACTGTTCTTTTCAATCAGTTCTTTTTATTGTCAATTTTACTCAGCAATTCTTCTTGTGTCTTAATAAATTTATTGCCTTACTTGGCGTGAAATGATTAGAAAAAAATCTATCTATCTATCTATCTATCTATCTATCTATATATATATATATATATATATATATATATATATATATATATATTTGTCCGTTCAATATCTATCTATCTATCTATCTATCTATCTATCCAGATAGATAGAAAGACAGATAGAAAGATACATACATACATACATACATACATACATACATACATACATACATACATACATACATACATACCTAGAATGGCAGAGCATGTGACGGCCAGATTATTAAATAAATTACATATGCATTTTTTGTTAGCATCTTACCCCATACGAGACGATTTTACCCCATACTAAGACGAGGAGGCTACGGGAGTGATTTTAATTAGCAGGAGGGAGGAAAAGACAATAAAGGAACATGGTCCAGGAAAGCAGAAAAAAAGCGATTTACGTTTCATTTAAGTTGTTGAAGATTCTATTTATAGGGAAGCAAGAAATAGGAAGGAAGTTTCCCAGCAAGTCCACAACATCGAGCTAGTCCCAACAATATAGTTGCCAATCTTAGTTGCCAATCTAGTAGCACGCTTAAGTTTATGTAGTCGAGGCATCTGGCAAAACGCTTACCAGATGATTTGCCATGAAAATATTTTCAGAATAAACCGGACCAATACACTTTTACTGCTCAGATAAAGGTCACAAGGCCCAAAACCCGTGTAGCAAAATATATGGAAAATGAAGTATAATGTATATAAATAAATCCCCATTATAACCAAAAACGTTTGCGGCTTCATTTATCTTTAAAATATATTACAGATACTCCTTTGGAATTTGTCAAGATCCTCGAGGTGGACAGCAGGATCATCAGACCAAATATGGCAACAGTTTTCAATGCATGAACGAATGGTAGATTTTTAAATGTGCAAAGTGGATTCTAACGATGAACAACTTTCTGGCACGGCTCAGTGATCCACCAACACCTAAGGGTATATGACGTTTTTTCTTGTGGGATACGGGTTCGATTTCTGTCGAAGAACGCATATTTCCAAAGACGTTTCTCGAACACTAGGGCCAGTAAATGTAATTATTACTTTTCAATTAAAACAGAGCATTTACTCAAATAAGCTGCATTCATAAAAAAATAATGTCATTCGACCATCGGGATCGTCATCCTCAATCCTTATTCCATTTCTCCCCTCTGATGAAGATGGCAGAGATGGCTGAGAAGACCCAGCCTTGTCCCGAAGTGTCATCATCAGAAGTCAGAGAGAACTGTGGATATATATATATATATATATATATATATATATATATATATGTGTGTGTGTGTGTGTGTGTGTGTGTGTGTGTGTGTGTGTGTGTGTGTAGTGGTAATAACTAAGCAGTTTTTAATCGATAAACTCGAAAGTGTTAAACAAGCCGGCACTGAAACTTACGCCTGCGTTATCTGTAATCAACAGATACCTTAATTTTCTTCAGATTGACTAATTAGGCGGATAAGAGGTAAACGCACCTGATTCTTTAGAAAAGGTAAGTAGCACTGTAGTTTGCGAGCGAACTACCAAAATTAAAAAATATATATATATACAGAAAGCTTTTAAAATAATTAAGAAAAAAAGTTTTCAATGGCAACACACTACTCATCTTCTGAGTTAATTCGAAATTTAAATCTTTTAGCAAAGCTGAGAAAAATTGTAATCTAGAATTCATTCATGATTAGATCTCACTTAATAAAAAATAAGGAAATTGATAAGAAAATTATTGATACTGGGGGTGGGCAATGTCTGTTTCAAACTTAATTTTGAATGGTGGTTCGTAAACCAGATTCAGATTTGTTTCCGTCAAATATTTTATTACATGGACGATAGTTGGCGAAAACTTGCCTTATATAGATAATGCATTATCTGTCTATATTTCTGAGATAAGTTAATGTAATTATTTACACTATTTACATTGATCCGACTGTTGTCCCCTTCTTTTTTGCCATATTCACGAAGTTTCGGTCATTGTACGCTCCAACCTGTAACTGGAACATTGAATTGAACTTTTTATTTCGTCCACCGGAGTAGATTGTTCTAGTTGAATCCAGTGATTTGACCCAAAGTGTTGGGAGTTCAATACCTGGCTACAGCAGAGGTGAACAAAATTAGAGAGCTGGGTTAAAGGAGATAACTGATACTGAGACACCGGGAGAGGCATGTCAGGTGGAACTAGAACAATCTACCCCGGTAAATGAAATAAAGGGTTCCTTATTAAATTCCAATCAACTGAAGAAGGCCGTAGCGTATAACGGCCAAAACATCGTGAATATGGCAACAAAGATGAGGACAACGGTCCGAACAATGTTAATAGTGCAAATTCATTATACATATCAAAATAAAATCACTTGTGCTGATGGCAGACAAAGACAGAAAACGGCATCAACTCCTAGGCAAGGTGAACATGGCTCTCCACAGCTTCCTCTCCGTTGTATTTCTTAGTAAAGTTTTTGTCATCTTGTATACGCCTTGTCTTGACAACCTTTTTTCCAAGTTAATTAGATAGGTTATGCGTTCTTCTTCTTTGTCTGTCTTTTATCTATGTCCTGTGAGCGAAAAATTCTCCAAGCATTCTTTTCATATTATATTTCCGGAAAAAATCAATTGTTTCTTGTTGATGTCATTTATAAGTGTATTTGTCTCAACTTTCTGTAAAACTTCATCCATTGAGAGTCCTAACAACGATATAGTGACATTAATATACCAATTTCCTAACACCGAAATGATATATATAGGTTCCGCGAAAAATGAATTTAAAATTAAATGGAGACAACACAAAAGCTATTTCAATAATATTAGAAATAGAAATCAGACATCCCTATCCAAATATTTTTAGCATTTAAAAGAAATGAATAAAACACCAAAAGTAAGATTGAAAGTAATAAATAGAATAAGAACATGTAAATCCTGGGATGACCCATGCCCTTTAAAACTACACATTATTAAGTTTCTAAATAATTAAAATTTATTAAACTATAGACATGAGTTAACGGTTTTTTGCCGACATCAACAAATTTTCGCACTAAATAATTAGCATACAAATTAAAAAAATTAAATCTAATAGTCTAATAAAAGGTTTAAAAGCTTAACCCAATGGTAAGATAAAAAAAAATATGAAGTCGTCAAAAAACAAATTGTAGTTCAGTGCGACGCGTTTATGTACAAACAGCTTTTTTAGAAAAAATTCTTTTGACACTTAACGGCATATGATGGTGCAAACAGCTATCTGTCGCTGAGACGGACCAGACGATGTGCGTATATGAATGCCATCATTCGCTTTGAAATGAACACCCCGGCCTCGACTTGGCCTCTTTCCGGATGTGGCTGATATGTTCATACAAATTGTTAACTCTTACGCCGCTTACCAACATGGTTACTCCAGCCGTTTCCATAGTAATTAATTTTTCGAATGAACATTTTTTATAAAGACGCGTAAATTTCAAGATTAGTTATTCTTAAATTTTCGCTTATGGATGAAACAGGTACTTTAATTCAATTCAATTTAATTTTAATAATTATATTGAGGCTTTTAGTTCTTGTTTTTGAAACATGAGAACTCTTATATTGCTACAGTTATACACATGAATTAACTACATATATCAGGTAACTAGTATTTATCCATGTTTTCCAATATTCCGCCATCGCTCTTCGTCATAAGTCAGCTCTCTGGCTGCTGATTTAGCCTTTATACACTTCACGTATATAATACATTAAAAGATTCCCTTTCTCCGCATCAGGTTGATAGATTAGGGGTACAGTTTCTGACTGATGCCAAATCGGTCGAACTTCGATTCTGGTTTGAAGCAATCGGATGTCTATCCACAAGGATGAGATGTGATAGAAGGAGAGAATACCTCTTATATATATATATATATATATATATATATATATATATATATAATACGTACCTATCTATACCTGTATAGGATGTTATGTATAAATTGTCGCCATTTTATATTTTTAATGTCTTCAGTTTGATGAATAGTAAGTAATTAAAACAATCATTGCAGAGTGAACATTCCAGATGAAAAATTCGGTCATAAATACTTAGCAGACTTAGGATTTGAGTTTGAGGCCTTGTGGGAAGATGAAAGGAGGCATGATGACGTCATCGTTAGGGATCACTCAAAACATCCTTCTAATCATCATTAGGGTCATCCAACTTCTGCAGTCGAAAAAGACAAAAACAACGCGCATGCGCGAAATTAAAATATAAAATAAAGCCAATTTACCTATCGCATCTTCCACAATTCTCAATCATAGAGGAACCTGACTAAAATGCATATTTATATCCATATCTCTCTCCGTCTTTATCTATCTATCTATCTATCTATCTATCTATCTATCTATCTATCTATCCAGATGCACACACAATACATACATACATACATATATATATATATATATATATATATATATATATATATATATATATATATCATTCTTGTGACATTATCGATTGAATTTTGTTAATATTTTTATACAAAATAAGTTTTAAGAGAAACAACTTTCTAACACAATTTATTAATTAAATTTTACAAACATCGATTAAAATACATTGCATAGTATGCATTGATCTAATGTAAATACATGTAAATTGTATGTTACGTTATAATAGTTCAAAATTCAGTGTTTGAAATTCCATTTATTCAATCTTTTAGAATGATCAAAGTGGTGTCTTTCTTCAAATTCCAGCAGTAATCACCCATCATGACTGCATTTCCGATACCGAGTCTCCATCTTTTTAATGCC